TCACCCTAGTGGACGAGTTGTGTCTCATGAGAGTTTTCAGCAGATCTACCCACAAAATCCCAATGCAATAATGCAACTACGTGATATGCATGCAAAGAAAATTTAGGAATTAAAGTTTAATTAGACACAAAGTCTCAAATATTTAAGAGTTTTCATATGCTCACTTAAAGTCAAATACTCATCCTATTCTTCACACCATTTGTTAAAAGATTTAGCCCATGAGCACTTAGTGTGTGTGTGGAAATTCTTAGTAAGTAGTCTCAAGTTTAGACCTTTACACCTTAGCATTTATTACTATTTTTTTCTATTTCTTCCCTCTCTTTTTTTTTTTTTTTATATGTCGAGTTTCCTTAAGCTTTCTAAGTTACTCATGTAACAGGCTTTTTGTCAATGACTCCCCAACCAGTTGGTTTTAGGGCATTAGGTGAAGAAACACCCTTAAGAATATACTTACTCAAGTAACAAAGGCCATGAAACATTTGACTTCTTTTCTTTTTCTTTTTCTTTTTTTTCAACCATATAACACATTCTTCCCTAAGCTATCACTTGTTTTTGACGTGAATACTAACATTTGTGATGAAAGCACCCGGTTACTCAACAAGTCATGAACTCAAAGTGATTTGCATACTCATATTTCTATCGCCATTTGACGTGAAAGTTGACATGGGTCTCATGTCTAACCCCCAATCACTAAGCACTAGAAACATTGGAGTAGAAATTAATAAACTCTTTTATATTAGCTTCTTTTTTCTTTTTTTCTTTTTTTATGTGCTTTTTAGGTGCTGCTAAGGGCCTGTTTGGTACAGCGGTTAAAATTCAACGGATAGTGGATAGTAGGTAGCAGATAGCAGATAGCAGATAGCGAATAACGGATAGCAGTAGTGGGTAATCGGTGGTGGTTAGCGGATAGCAGATGGTGGATAGCGAAAAGTGGGTAACGGATGGTAAATAACAGATTCGATAAATATAACTATTTGGTTATATAATAGTTAGCGATTGCTATTTAACATTAAATGATTAATAAGAACATGTTTAAAAATGAATAAGTGTATTTTTTAAAAAAATTTATTTTTTATTATTAAAATTATTAATTTTATAAAAATAATAAAAATAAATAAATAAA